CCTCTCAGGCGAGGGTGAGTAAGGGAGGAGGCGCCTTCTCCTCTCAGGTGAGGGTGAGTAAGGGAGGAGGCGCCTTTACTCTGCCGAGTACCATGCTGCTGTTAATGTGGCACTCATTTGGCATCCCGCTGATTTTGATCAGCACACAGCTACATGTCACAGAAAGGATCCCAGCCGCCAAAGCCGCCGTAAACATCGAGCCAGTCAGGTGACTGCTGTGTGATGCTTCCATAATGCTCCAGAACAAAACGACATTAGTGAGTGACTCCCACAGCCACATTGCGGTCGCGGACTGATTGACTTCCACCTCAAAGTGCACATTATTAATTTGAGGCTCCCAGTTCCCAGTTCCCTGCCAGACAGTCTACATTTTTGTTTCCTCCCAGTTACCTGCCAGACAGTCTACATTTTTGTTTCCTCCCAGTTACCTGCCAGACAGTCTACATTTTTGTTCCCTCGCAGAAACATGGACTGTCTGGACCTATGGACCAGTTTAAAAAACACTGTTCTAGAACATACTGGCCATGTCTGTATATCCACAACATTTTATCAGCATTTAACACAAACAGCATTTCCCTCCCTTACAAATATCTCTAAGACAATCCCCTTAACCCCCTCACTGCAGTACAGCACTGAACCTTTTATCAGATAAAAGGTTTTAAGAGATATCAACATTTTCGATGTCTCTTGTTTCCACTCTAATCCTTCTCCGCAAGTGAGAATTAATCTTGCACGCAGCAGTAAATCAAATGGCCCTTAATTATGAGGTACTTCGCAGATTGTAATGCAATATTCAATTTGCATGGTGAATGATTGTGCCAAGTGTAAAACACTGGTTAAACAATTAATTGATTAATTAAGACATTATAAAATCCTTGGCAATTTAATAAATAATAATAGCCAGGATTAAAAAAATTGACACCAGATGCACTTACCATTGTTCTTGTTGGTGTTACATCGATTATAGAAATGTGTTTTTATACTGCTCTGCCTGCTAGACAAAACACAAAACTATCTGAACAGCATAAGAACTGCTGTGTGACTCCATTAAAAAATTTACATTGGCAATTAAGACTATATGAAGTGTGGAGCTACTTTCAAAATGGACGCCATGCAGAAATCATCACACTGCAGGACAAGAAATTCATGTCTCATGTCAGCAGCCGCATGACAGGGGAATGACAAGCCAGAAACACGCAAACATCGTATTTCCCTACAGTTTCAACCGCAGGATGTCAGGCTATGATGCAGGGGGGTTCCCACGGCAGACTCAGCCTCTAAAACTGACTCTTCTAATTCAGGAATGCCGCCGATCAGAAGACATAAAAAGGAAGTGAGAAGTGGAAAAATTTCACTTGACAAACCAGTGCAGGACATTACAGCTGGAGTAGTTCATGAAAAATACTCAGTCACACCCTACAGACACTGTAATCAGATTTTGGTCAAATGGTTTTTGGCTCAGAAATTACAAAAATCTGTCCGTTGTTCGTAAAGGTCAATATTTACATTCCTCTCATGAAGAGGCCAGTAATTATGCTAATGCAATCTGCACTCAATGATGCCCCGAGCGAAGGCTGGTAATCGTATGCATTACAAAGCAAGATTAAACGTTTCTTATCCATTTCTTTACATTTAACTTTTTTAAATGCTAACAGAATGCCAAAAGCAGTAGCCCAAAATGCATCACTGCATTCCACACGGGCATTGTGTTGTGCTGTAGCCCAAAATGCATCACTGCATTCCACACGGGCATTGTGTTGTGCTGTAGCCCAAAATGCATCACTGCATTCCACACGGGCATTGTGTTGTGTTGTAGCCGAAAATGCATCACTGCATTCCACACGGGCATTGTGTTGTGCTGTAGCCCAAAATGCATCACTGCATTCCACATGGGCATTGTGTTGTGCTGTAGCCCAAAATGCATCACAGCATTCCACATGGACATT